GAGCTTCCCGCGACTTATTGTGCCTGACTCAGAACCTGCATAAGTGCATTCGGCAATATTAGATAGTGTGGCCTCTGATATTCTAGAATTAACTATTGCTACGCGAAACGGTAGTGAACTTTGACCCTTTAAACTCCGTGTGCGTTTGTGCGGTAACCATTATACCCAGCGATAGTTAGTGGCTTCTGTAAGTTAGTAAATCGTACGATAGAGTTAAGTGACTGTCATCGTGACGAGAGAAGAAAGTGACGGTGGGCAACCTCGGAAGGCCCTCTCAAGTTGGAGCGGTGTCGACGCTCGGGCTGCTGCCGACGGCCAAGGTCTAGGTTCAATCACCATCAGTCACACCCAGATACACATCACATCACTTATTTCCCTTTCACTACACAACCACATGTGACCTGACCGACTCCGGAGGGACCAGTCGCCTTGGATATAGGTAAGTGAACTCCGCCTAATTCCTCTGCCGGTCGACTGGCCGTAGTATAGAACGCTCCCCCATATATTTTAGTGTAATTCGAGAGATTCCACGTGGCCACATTGAGCCCGACCTACGTCTGCTCGGGAGGTCTTCAGCTCATGGGCCCCTGAGGATCTGATCCTTTAAGGGAGCAGCCGTAGGCCGTAACAAACTGGTAGCAGAGCGCGGTTCCGGGTTCGATTCCCGGTCGATCCCGACCATAGTGGTTGATAAACATTAAACAATTCTGGTGGCAGGGAGCGTTGGTTTGATTGGTCTAATTTGTATCTACAATCACGCCCGTCCGTAATACGTAAAAATATTTTTTGTACGTAATAATAGAATTATTTCCCTTTGTTCTTTGTTGCTTGCCTTTTTTTGGTTAGTGGGTAGATTTGAAAAGCCGCGCCCTAGGTTGCGCAAGCGGGAGTTTTCTAGAGATATACGTCATGTAGGTAGATGGTTATTTTTACGTAATCGGTTAATTATCGTTGTCGGATAGTTGTAGTGGATTACTTATCGAAGGGTCGATTTCCGAGCTAGGCATTTTTGTTGATCGACCGTGATGTGTATCTTCGTTTATACTGTAAGTTGTATTTGAACTAAAGAGTAGTAATGGTATTTGCGCCATTTGAATTTAACTTGATTTGATCGCACTAGTAATTGTTATTTGTTAATTTGATTTGTGCCTTTTCTTTTGTGCTAACTTGTATTTGGTTGATACGTAGTAATTCGTATTTGTGTAATTTCTATTCAACGCGATTTGATAGGAACTGCATTTATTAACTGTTAATTTTTGTTGTATTTTTTGTTTGTTATCTTTGTAGTCTGTGCTCAAGCCGCGTCGTAATTTTGCATTTAATAGTGATGACATCGCCCAAGCTACTGATCCGTTGTTTGCGGACTGAGCTACGCTGGGCCACAAGCGCCCATGCTTTGATAGGTCGACCGGATAGGGTCCATAACTTGATGAAGTGGTTCGAGCAGGTGGATGCTCGAAGGGCCGCAGTGGAGGAGGCTTACGCTGAGCTCGAGGATTCGGATGTGGAGAAGGGAGTCCTGGACTCCTGCTTCGCGGACTATGAGCAGTTCTTGTGGCTCACGGACGAGTTGATCGAGGCTGAAGGCAGGTATGCCGAGGAGGCGCGTGAAGCTCGGATGAGTGGCCTGTCCGAGTCCTTTCTGAAGCAGCTTCAGCCGGAGCTGTTGGGACGACTCCCAACTCTGGACCTGCCAAAGTTCTCCGGGGTCCTTTCCGAATGGCTGACCTTCGTTGGTCTTTTCGACAGCCTAGTGGATGCCCGGAGTGACTTGACCCCGAGCCAAAAGATGGTGTACCTTCTGGCCTCACTGGAGGGGGAGGCCCTGGGCGTCGTCGACCACTTGAGATTGTCGGACGACGCCTACCAGACTGCTCGGGACCTCCTAGCCAGAAGATACGCCAACGTCCGGCGAATTGCGGACGAACATATTAAGCAGCTTCTAAGCCTCCCGCTGCTTAGTGACCGGGCCAGACTGCGTCCGGACCTGTTGGATCCGGTCTTGGTGGCCTGTAATACGTTGAGGCGGCTGGGTTTGCCAGTGGGCGAATGGGCTTTTTTGTTGCTCCGCATCGTGCTGTCCCGTCTACCTCCCGACCTTCGAATCCATTTTGAGGAGAGGTACGGCGGGGACGAGGCCTCCTACATTCCGCCCTTCTATGACCTGCTGCGGTTTTTGGAGGAGCAGTGCCGGCAGATAGAGAGCGCGGCGGGCACCGTTGACGACTTACGAGCCGTGCCCAGTGAGAGGCTGAATCCTCCAGGAAAGTCGTCGTCAACCCCCCCCCCCCCTGCTCCTATTGTCGAGCATCTGATCACCGGGTAACGTCGTGCCCGAAATTATTAGGTAAGCCGGTTCCAGCGAGGCGAACTATCGCCAAGGAGCGCCGCTGGTGCTGCTCGTGTTTGGGAGGACACCTCCAGCGAGACTGTCCGCATCGGCGGCCCTGTCAGCATTGCCAGGGCAATCATCATGCCGTTTTGTGCCTGAGTGCGAACGGCGTCTCCTCTCGGGGCTCAGCCACGCCCTCTGCCGGGCGACTCTCGGCGCCCGCCGGCCAGCCATCAGGCCCCTAACTTTGAAAGGGGTCCCTCCCCCGACCAGTCGGGGGGTAATTCCCCCAGGGGCGGGGGTGTCATCACCCCCCCTAAGCGTGTGGAGAGGAACTTCACAGCCACTCATCGGTCCGCTGGACCCTTCTCACTCCCGTTAGCTGAGTGGCCGCGACTGGTGTACCACTGTTCCCCATTTGATGGAGGCGGCCCTGGCTAGCTGCCGCCTTAGCTCCCACCACGGCCACCTCCACTGAGCCTTAAGCCGTTAACAGTCCACTTGTCAAAATGTTCTGTTGCCGACGGCCTCAGTGACGTGGCGTACAACCCGAGTGGCGACTGTTAGCGATCTCGGGTTCACGCCATGTGGCCTCCCCTTGGTGGTGGGAAGATTAGGGCCCCTCTAGAGCGTTGAATCACGCTGTCAAGGGGTATTAGATTTGGTTTGGTCGAGCACTTAGTAAAAAAAAATATACTTGAATTAAAATTAAAAACTGCTTTGGGCTTTCCGCGAAAATTTCCTATTTGTAGCGGTTTAAATTAAAAGAATTGAATTTAATCTACTCCTTTAAATGCTACTGCATGTGTTTTGTAAATATATTTAATCACTGTATTTGATTGTTGCGTCTGTTTGCCGAAAGGAAAATTTAAATTCATCTGAAAGTGAATGGCGCACTATTTGAAAAATTATCTTTATGTTTATGATAGTGTTTAATCATTTTGCTTTGCGAAGAAGTAGGGCTGTCCCTTACGTTATTGTTTTGTTTAATTTGCAAGTTGACCTATGCGCATCGGTGATTAATTTGGTTGAATTAATTCTGTAGTTGAACATTGATGCTTTTGAAAAATTAGTTGAAATATGAGCATAGGACTACTTGCCTAACAGGCTAGCTAGTTTTGGAGATTATCAGATTGAAATCGGCTGCCGCACTATTTTAGTAAATGATAATATGGTGGGTGGCCTGGCTAGGCCTACTTGTTGAAAATTCATACTAGGGACTATCTGTGCGTTTCGTTGGGCTCTTCACAGACGACGTTCATGTGGAATTTGTGGGTGCTCTCTGCACTGAAGCTTAGGAGGCCGCTCGGGGCCGCTTCGTGTCGCGTCGCTGTTTGCAGAGCTGATCCGGTCGGATTGCGGAACTAATCATAGGGGCACAGATAGGTGTTTGAAAGAGGTCGTCGGACTTCTGTCCAGTACAGGACTTGTTAAAGTGCTGCGATGCCCAGGAGGGGCATCCAGTGGAGGCTGACCCTCCGGCTTGCCACATTAGGGCTATTTTTTGAGGCGCTGGTTAGGGTTGCAAGATCTGAAGGGGTGCCTAAGGTGGCCTGGTTTGGTTGTGGAATCGGTCTTGCAACTTGCCTTCGCGACCTTGTCCCGCTGACCGGTTTGCTCGCGGACCTAAATACTTATGTCTGGGACGGGGGTTTGTTCGCGCAAAACACTTTCAAGGAACGAACGCGAGAGGGCGTGCGGCTCAGTGTCATACCGGTTTGACATTCGGTCGTGCGTAAAACGCCCAAGGGCTGAGTCGTCTTTAATCGGTGCTGACGTGAGCACGCGGTCCATTCTGTTAGGGAACTCGGAATAATTAGGTGCGGCCCGTAAATATACGGTCTAGGATTTGTGACGCGCATTCCTACTGGAGAGCTTCCCGGGACTTATTGTGTCTGACTCAGAACCTGCATAAGTGCATTCGGCAATATTAGATAGTGTGGCCTCTGATATTCTAGAATTAACTATTGCTACGCGAAACGGTAGTGACCTTTGACCCTTTAAACTCCGTGTGCGTTTGTGCGGTAACCATTATACCCAGCGATAGTTCGTGGCTTCTGTAAGTTAGTAAATCGTACGATAGAGTTAAGTGACTGTCATCGTGACGAGAGAAGAAAGTGACGGTGGGCAACCTCGGAAGGCCCTCTCAAGTTGGAGCGGTGTCGACGCTCGGGCTGCTGCCGACGGCCAAGGTCTAGGTTCAATCACCATCAGTCACACCCAGATACACATCACATCACTTATTTCCCTTTCACTACACAACCACATGTGACCTGACCGACTCCGGAGGGACCAGTCGCCTTGGATATAGGTAAGTGAACTCCGCCTAATTCCTCTGCCGGTCGACTGGCCGTAGTATAGAACGCTCCCCCATATATTTTAGTGTAATTCGAGAGATTCCACGTGGCCACATTGAGCTCCACCTACGTCTGCTCGGGAGGTCTTCAGCTCATGGGCCCCTGAGGATCTGATCCTTTAAGGGAGCAGCCGTAGGTCGTAACAATATTACTATACTCTTTGGCGGGGTCCACAAAATTATCACGGGGAGACCGATGTGGACCGGTGGGATTAGACAGATTAAATTGTGTTATGTTTTATCGTATGAATAAATTTTATGTGTTGATTGAAAAGCTGGCGCTAAATGGTGGGGTTGGTTTGCGATGCGCAGTGTCGGGTGCGGAGGCGGGCGGCGCGGCGGGCTCGTGGGCGTGCGCGCGCTGCACGCTGCTCAACGAGCCGGCCGCCGCCGCCTGCGCCGCCTGCGCCGCCTCGCGCGCCGCGCAGCCCGCACCCACCGCCCACTGGTGAGCGTTGCGTCGGCTCCTGACTACCCCACACTCTTCTTCTTCTCTGCTCTCCTGTTACCCGTTATCATGGGATACTATTTGTATCCCATGATAACGGGATGCTTTTATTTGTAGTGTAGGTGTACATGCACTTTGTTTTAGTGTGCGTAAAGCCGCGTATCGATTATGCACTCCTGGCGCGCGCACCTTGAATGACCGTTCCGACAAATGCGCTCCGCGGAACGCGCTCCAAATGTTCGAAGTGTATCAACTAAGCGCTCCTGGCGCACGCGGCAGCCGCTCCAGTGTTTGACCGTTCAACACGGATGTCGGTCGTGTACGAGCAGCTGCCGCTTTCATAGTTCTTCTCTGAGCGTTGTATTATGATAAAAATGACTTTGCTATTCCACATCAAATCTTTTAACTATATGATTGTATTAATTTACGGCAAATTTGGTTATCCATAGCTCGGAACGCAACGAACACATAAACAATGAAAACAAACGTCCCAACTAGCGCGCGCGCCAAAACTTAAACTGCTTTGATGCGCGGTAAAAATCCGACACCAGATGGAGCGGCCCGCTCCACGTTCGAGCGCTTCACAATTTGGCGCGCGCTCCAAGGCAGTCTCCATTTCGCGCGGCTATGGCGTGCGCCAATGTTCGACCTCTTGGAGCGCGTAATCGATACGCGGCTTAAGCAATACCTCATTTTAGTCCTCAGGCGTGACAACGCATCTGCATTTTGATTCTTAATCGGAGATAAATTTAGATGTCTATGAACCACAGCGTCCACTTATCATCAAGTGAACACAGTCCACATGATGATAAGTGGATGCTAATGCTCGTTTTTCACTTCAATGCCATAATAAATACTTCAAGTTCAACCAAATAAACCACTCCCTACTATTTTTATGTTTGTTCGAAACTCTATGAAATCGTTCCTCCACAAAATCGACCGTCATGGATTTACTCTTGTTAAGAAAATATGTCGGTCGAGACCCGTCTATGACCAACTTGTTGTGAAACCCACAGTACAGCTCTACATCTCTCGTTTGGAAAAAAGTACGTCGGGAGAAGACGTCCTGCGTATGGTGGAAGAAAGAACAAAGCTGATGCCGCATAGAGGATCCCCATCTCTTTACATTTGCAGTGTCTGAAGCGTAATAAGTTCACAAATTGCAAATCCTACTTTCCTGCAAAGTACAAAGAGACATATCTCACCCCGATTTCTGACGATACAGGGACGCGTCTAAAAAGAAAATTATTCCTTAAATAGTGTTATGTCTATTAATGTTATGTTAATGTTCTTAATATTTAAATACTTGATGCGTGAAATAAAGTTATCGAATTGTATTGTATAGGGCCATTTTCACCCCCTAGGTCTTCTGTTCCAGGTCGTGCAGTTCATGTACGCTGCGCAACCCCATGTCGGCCAGCCTGTGCCTGGCCTGCAAGACTCCGCCCGTGCCCAAACATGGCGTGCCCAGTTCCTCCTCTGCAGACATCAACCATGGATCCAGTGGTAAATAACCTTAGCCCTTGTGGTAAAATTGCCTTTTTAACCTTATTGCGTTGTTTTTTTCTATTTTGACTAGAACTTTTTCGGCATAAAATACTGTCTGGGTAGTTATCAGCCTCTTGTCTATTTCTGCCGTAAAATAACAGAGCTTGCAATCTTGTATTCTCATCTGAGAGGTATAGAGACAAAAAGTAAATACATAGAAGTAAAAGCAGCGGTTCCTTACCTGCCTGCCAAGCGTGGTAAGTGAGGTAAAATCCACCTTAAAGAGGCAATGAATTGGGGAGGATTTTGTTAAGCACTGTGTCCGTCTTATTGACTCTTTCCGATTGGTCTGGTATCACTATGGGCGTACCTCAGGATGGCGTTCTTTCTCCTCTTTTATTTTCTATACTTATTAACTATATTACGACAGTTATTACATCTAATTTACATCTTCACGCGGACGACTTACAGCTGTCTCGTTATTTTCCGGTATGTGATACAAATAATGCAATTGAAGCCATGAATGCGGATCTGAGCCGCATCTGTAAATGGTTTGCATCCTATAAGTTAACTAATAATTACCTATTAGTTAATCCCACAAAATCGCAGGGCATCATAATAGGCAGCAGGCATTTGCGTAATAAATTAGAATTTACATCATCACCTCACGATTAAGCCGCATATCGATTACGCGCTCCAGCGCGCGCGCCGTGAATGACCGCTCCGACCAGTGTGCTCCACGGAACGCGCTCCAAATGTTCCAAGTGTATCAACTAGCGGCCGTTTGACCGTTCAACATGATATCGGTCGTTTACTAGCAGCTGCCGCTTTCATATTTCTATGTATCTTCTCTGAGCGCTTTATTATGGTAAAAACTACTTTTGCTATTCCACAGCAGATCTTTTAAACTATATAATTGTATTAATTTACGGCAGCTTTGGTTATCCATAGCTCGAAACGCAACGAACACACAAATAATGAAAACAAACGTCCTAACTGGCGCGCGCGCTAAAACTTAAACTACTTTGATGCGCGGTTAAAAACCGACACCAGATAGAGCGGCCCGTTCCTCGTTCGAGCGCTCCAACGAACAATTTGGCGCGCGCTCCAAAGCGGTATCCATTTCGAGCGGCGTGAGTGCACGCCAATGTTCGACCTCTTGGAGCGCGAATTCGATACGCGGCTTTGCTTTAACGGCGTTCCTATAGCCTTTGCCTGTACTGTTAAAAACTTAGGTGTCATATTTGATCACCATTTATCATGGTCAACGCACATCGCTGAGGGTAGTCGTAAGATCTACTTTACCTTACATTCATTTAAATGTCTTCAAAATGTTTTACCTCTAAAAGTTAAAGTATCACTCGTGCTCACTCTTATCCTACCACTGCTTGGTTATGTTGACGCCTGTTATTTGGATTATTATGCTACAGAGGAGCTCCTTAACAAACTCGAGTGCTTGCAAAGTCAGTGTATCCGCTTCATATTTAGGCTCAAAATATATTTCAAACACATAGTTTTAAGGTTTAAGTTTTAGTATAATCTCTAAGTCTATCCGTAAAAGTTTAAGTTAAAATCGAAAAGTAAAACAGATTTAAGTGATTTTTTTTGAGTTTATGTAGCACTAGTTTTACCGTTACAGCCTATTAAAGTCCACTGCTGAACATAGGCCTTCCCTATAGATTGCCTTATAGAGGGGAGATATTTGCCATAGTTGCTACGCTTAGCAAGCGGGTTGGCAACCGCAGTTTTTTTTTAGTCGTATTTAGGAAGACTCTTGCCATGTCCTGATTTGTTTCCCTCCGTCGATTCTGTCACTGGATGATATGGGATGGTAGTTATTCTTACACCGCCACTACACGGCTACGCGGAGTTTACCTTTAAGTAATTTTAGCACTTTTGTTATTACTTTGTTATTGTATAATATGATGTGTTAGTGTTAATAATTGTTGTACTGTATAGTCTTTCAAACAAACCAGTTCGTGTTATTCTTATTTTCCAGTAAATTGATTAAATTATTAGTTTTAGGCACCGATCACTAATAAAAAACTAGATAAACAATCCCGTGCAAAAGTGCTCTAAAAACTGTCTAACTGACGTAATTCTAGTTGAAATAAATATACAAATGTAAATTAAACCTTAAATGCATTGCCTAAAGTTGTATTCACAAAGCTACATACAAATTAAAAGCGCACTCAAATGTTCGAGTGCGCGCTCATTCGGTAAGGATATTTTTAGTACCTAGTTTTTTTATTAGTGATCGATGTTTTAGGTAAAGAAAACTTGAATGAGTTCATTGGAATTCTTCCAGGTCGTAGTCCATCACCAAGACGCAGCTCCCGCCATACTCCTGCACTACCACGTCGCGGTTCCAGGCACAAAACCCCTCCACCCGAACCCAAGTAAGTAATAAAATTTCCAGCAGTGGGGGTGCTATTAATTGTGATGATTAATGGCGCAGTAATGGCCCACTGTCCACCAGCACCACCACCACCACTAACACAATTAACAACACGATCAGCGCTACCGTCCACAAACACCGACACCAACACGATCAGCACCACACTCCTGTTGGAGTGTGGTGCAATAATACAATCACCACTCTCTGGCGATTGTATTATTTTCTCTTGAATTTTTCATTTATACTGTACAACTGTTAGGTATTTATGTTTATTATGGAATACATCTATAACGTCTTATTTTATAGTACATGATCATGAAATATTATTCATCTATTTATTTCAATGCCCAAGACCAACAGCCCTATCATTCATATCCCGACTGAGCCGGTGCAAACCAGTTTGTACCCCGACGGAACGTAGCTGAACCAGTCGGTGAGAGTTCACGCACACATCGCTGCGCTATGTGTGGGTGAATTCGCAGCGATACGTTTATATGTAGCCTCCCCTCTGGTCGGTTTTTTTACTCATGCGATACTATCGCCATCTATCTGCTGGCTCAAGTTGGCGCCAATATCTTCTAAAAACTACACAATGTGACGCTACAAAATATTCGGAACCTCTATATTATAAAGGATTATTATCACTTAATACTGAGATAAATGAAGACATGGCTTAAAAAACAAGCATCCAAGCCAAAAATATTATTTAAAAAACATGTTATTATTATAAGATGTTAATGTGTGTGCGTGGCGCGCGCAGGTGGGAGTCGGGCGAGTGGGCGTGCTCGGAGTGCACGTACGCGAACGGCGCGTGCGCGCTGGCGTGCGACATGTGCCACGCGCCGCGCACGCGCCTGCTGCCGCCCGCGCCGCACCAGCCCGCCGCCGACGACGACGACTCGCGTCAGTGCCGCGCACACTCGCACACTTTGCTTTCATTTTATAGCTTCACACAAAATATGCGCACTTCGACTCTACCACCCGTCGCCGGTCTGGGTGTTTTACGTCTGATGTAAAAGATATTTTTTACCGCCATCTATCGGAGGTCATAAGATTTTTCAGACGTTTCATTTAGTCGCCATATACGCAGCCTACGAGCTGAAATCTATAACAATTTATTTATATGATATATCAATTTTCATCCATGTAGATCATGTAGCCTAGTATCTTCTGTGCTAGCTTCAGTTTGGTTCAAAAAGCTATATAAATGGAAACCTTGTCTACTCCACTTTTTAATTTATAGCATTTTTTCCCTCTAATCGTTTTATTTGTTTTTAATCTGTAAGCATTTTATTTTTTATAATCAAGTAATTACATAAAATTTTACATAATAAAAATGTTTACAAATTCATTGTGGGTTGTATTGCAATTTGTGTTTTATATTCTACAGCGGAAGGCTCAGATTCGGAGCGAGAAAGTACTCCAGTGGAAATCCTGCGGCTAAGAGAGGAGAGTCATGCTTGGACCCAGTGGCAAGAAGTGCTGGCGCAATGTGCAGCTGTAAGTTTTTTGAGCATTATTAATGAATTTATATTATATTTACTTATTATAAGCCAGGGCTTAACTACAATTTTCGCTGGTTATAGATAGTGGTAAAGCGCTAGATGATAATTCGCAGTGTATAAGCTTAACAAAAACTTATTCATTCCTGCCTAAAAGACGCCTGCCTACATTGTAATCGGACGTAATTACAGACGCCGGCAAAACATTCAACTCCTTTACTGTACGTATTATGAAAGACTAAGCAAGACAAAAAAAAAGGGCGAAGGCGCCCTAGAGAACTAGTTTTCCGATGGTGAAAAGGAGAGGGAAAAATCAATGCATAACAAAAAGAAATATAGTCTTCCTTTGAAAGACTTTGGACAACACAGAGTGTCTTTAGTACAGAGCTGGCAAATAAAACTATATAAACCGATCCTTTTATTCTTTTTTTAATTTAACAATTGACTGCTTTTGCTAGTGCAAGATAGTTAATAATATATCGTCAGATATTGTCCTGTCACTTCGAAACGTGCAAATGATTTTGCCATATTATCACATGAGTAAATAAACGGAACAGAGGTAAAGCTTCATACAACCGCCCGAATCGGTAGCATTACTACAAGCACGCGAGGCATGTGTGCGTGACCACTGGCGCCTTGTCGCGTACGCGGCGAGACTGGAAAAAACCGGTAACGGTTACAGCCAGTGGACAACAATCTCAGGGTCAGTGCGACGCACGTTGTTTCTTTTGTTAGTTGCAAGTTTGAATATTGTAATGTAAAACAGTGGTATTTATTACTAATGGTTATTTATTGTAGGGTGTGTATGATTAATACTAGAAAAAATAAAAATATATCATACTTTAACTATCCCAAGGAGCACAATAGGCAAGTAAATATTTGATTACTACTTTTTAAGTAAGTACCTTTATTTTATTGTATGATCACGACACGGTGTGTTTTTACCTTTTTATTGTTATTTTCTTTTATAGGATAAGGGTGACAAACGAGCACACAGTCCACCTGATGGTAACCGTTTGCTGTGGCCCATAGACCATCAAAATGCAGATGCGTTGCCACCCGTGAGGACTAAGATGAAATGCATCGTTTCCAGTAAAAAGGGTCTCCAGTTCTCTACACTCACCATACGAAACACAGCAGCATTAAGCTGCTATTTTACGTTGGTATTCTGTGAGAGCGTGGTCCTTCCCCGGTCGAGCCGACCCATTCGTGTTACAACTATACCAAAAATATAGCTTCAGCATGGCTCTACCACGTATAATTAATATATTACATAAATATATTACAAGCTTTTTCTAAATATGTAGGTAAGTGGGTGGGTTGGTATGTAGTAGGTATGTGTGTTAAGTTCACATATTACAACTGCGATGCCTGATTGAGTTGAAATTTTGTATACAGTAACTTCAGTCAACGCAATAATATGATAGATATAACCTGATGCTGCCGCCAGGATTTACTCCGCACTAGGGGTAGGCACTCCGCAGTAGGGCACTCTTCAACGGGTAGTAGCACGGTCACGAAATTTTGTTTGTTAGTTTAATTTTGATAGTTTAACACAATTTTTATCATGAACTGCTGCTGCAGACAGTATTGTCTCTTTACGAGGTAACTCCTTGTTAATGTTGGCAACGAAATACGTATTAAATATTTTAATTTGATGTTGCCATGTGAATGTTTCCCGATAGATTACTTGAAAAAACTTTATGTTAAATTCAGAATTTACCACACCATTATAAGAAACAATAAATTATTAAAAAACAAAAATTATAAAAAGAACATTATTACAGTAAGTAATTTATAAAGTATTCTATCATACTGAATGTTTTATTTAATTTATCTTCACCTATTGTGAGAACCCTTAGGTAACGATTTTGCACGTTCTTAAGAAGCTTTGTCTCTGTTCCGTTTATCTACTCATGTGACATTATTAGGCGCGTCAATACAGATATCCTTCGTATTTGAAGTTTGTTAAATAGACGTGTAACATAAAGGTGAACCGAGCAGTGGCGGTATAAGAATATCCACTACCACAATTGTCCCGTGGGTGTTGTATGAGGCGTCAGAGGGATACGGAACTGATGCCAAGCGTAGCAGCTATGGTAAAATTCCCCCTATTAAGGACACCATGCGAAGGCCTATGTTCAGCAATGGATTTTTATAAGTTGTAATCATAGACTTCTATGTAACTACTAGACGGGCTCTACTACTACTAACGAATCTAATACAATACCTTTTGAAACGTAGCTACTTATCGGACGGTACAGATTTGGCGGATGGGGATGGATAATATCCATTTCCCTCGCACTTTTTCTTATATTGCCATGAAAGAAATATTATTTTATTTTAAATGACGCTTCATTTTAATACACGCTAGTAATTCATTTATTTGTATTTGGTAATCAATAATATCCCTAAAAAAGGCGACTGCTCAGACCCATCCAACTATAGGCCTATCGCGATCACCTCCTTGTTCTCCAAAATAATGGAATCCATTATTAACTGCCAGCTCATCCGGTACCTTGAGGATCACCAGCTGATTAGTGACCGCCAATACGGTTTTCATCGGGGTCGATCAGCTGGTGATCTTCTGGTCTACCTGACCCATAGATGGGCGGAGGCAGTAGAGTCCATGGGGGAGGCGTTGGCCGTTAGTCTGGACATTGCGAAGGCCTTCGATCGGGTTTGGCACAAAGCGCTTCTTTCGAAGCTCCCTTCCTATGGGCTTCCCGAGAAATTGTGCAATTGGATCACCAGCTTCCTTGCAGATCGGAGCATCAAGGTCGTCGTAGACGGTGCATGCTCTGACTACAAGCCTATTAACGCTGGTGTTCCACAAGCCTGTGTGCTATCACCAACGCTGTTTCTTCTGCATATCAATGATATGTTGCTAACTGGTAACATTCATTGCTATGCGGATGACAGCACTGGTGATGCTCTATACACCGGCCGTGCCAATATTTCTCGGGAAAACGTCGCTGAGTACCGGAACAAACTTGTGTCTGAAGTCGAGTCTTTGGTGAACAAAGTCTCGGATTGGGGGCGACTAAATCTAGTCCAATTTAATCCTCAGAAGACACACGTTTGCGCGTTTACCGCTAAAAAGAACCCCTTTGTCGTATCTCCTCAGTTTCAAGGCACTCCCCTTCTTGCGTCAGCCAGTATCGGTATCCTCGGAGTCGACATATCGAGTGACGTGCAGTTTCGTGGTCACTTGGAAGGGAAGGCCAAATTGGCCTCTAAAAAGCTTGGCGTGCTCAGCAGAACGGGACAGTATTTCATGCCGGCACACCGCCTGCTACTTTACAAGGCGCAAGTTCGGCCTCACATGGAATACTGTTCCCATCTCTGGGCAGGGGCTCCCCAGTGCCAGCTCCTTCCACTTGACCGCATCCAACGCAGAGCGGCTCGAATTGTCGACGACCGAGCCCTTTCCGATCGGCTCGATTCATTGGCACTGCGAAGAGATGTTGCATCCCTTTGCATTTTCTTTCGCATCTACCATGGGGAGTACTCTGAGGAATTGTTCGGATTAATCCCAGCCGCCAAATTTCACGAACGCACATCGCGGCAGAACTCCCGATACCATCCACACCATCTGGATGATTGGCGTTCCACCACTGTGCGATTTAGAAGATGTTTTCTTCCTCGCACGACCTCCTTGTGGAATCGATTACCATCAGCGATTTTTCCGGACCGATACGACTTAGGGACCTTCAAGAAAAGAGCGTACTCCTTTTTAAAAGGCCGGCAACGCATCTGCGATTCCCCTGGTGTTGCAGTTGTTCATGGGCGGCGGTAGTCACTTACCATCAGGTGAGCCGCATGCTCGTTTGCCCCCTCTCCTATAAAAAAATAATAATACGTTTATCAATAATAGTATACTAGGAAAAGAACTTCGTTCCAACCGAGTGTTCCACGACACTCACGCATGTTTTTATTATTTATGTGCTGTGCGCACTTTGTCAACGTGATTTTATAGTATATTTCATTACGAGTGCGGAAAGCCTGTCATTACAAAGAGTTCCGACAAATGCCTACCCGAGCCGAGGCGCAGCCGAAGGTGAGGGTTGACAGTCGGAACAAGTTGCAATGACGGTTCCGCACTTGTACTGAACAACTATTTTTAATACAGTTGCGAAAAAATGAAGCAATTTAATATAATAATAAAAACACAATAAACTCTAACAGTTATAATTCACATATACATTGAAATTGGTACAGTTTTTTATACTAACTGGGGAAGTTTTAGGTTGCATATTTACTGTTTGAGACAAACTATTATTAATTCCTCATGATTGTTGCATGTATATTGGTCAAAGGTGTTATATAATGGCGTTTGCTAGTTGATGGAATTGCATCTGATGAATTATCATTATCAACGAAGGTAGATGGACGAACGTTCTCTTCAGTATTGTCATGTGAAGGAGACGGACTGGACTTTAAATTGATTGATTGTGTGATTTTTTCCCAGTTTCTAGTTTATTGTTTAACGAATCAGCAATATATCCTTCTGCAACTTTGTCTGACTTCCAAACTCTAGTCGCTTTAAGGACGTCAAATTGGCTCCTGAATCTGCCAATAATGTAGCAGAGGTCCTCCTGAAGCTGTGCCCAGTATAATACTCAGCATCCGGCAGACCAAGAAACGTAGCTATTTCTTTTGGCATATTACCAAATTTCTTTATCCCGTTTGCTTGAGCTGTACACTTCCCTTTTTTGGAAAAAACGGTCGGTTTTTGCTTTTTGAGACCGCTGATTCATATATTTTTGCACTATTCTATGAAAATCTCCTTCAACAACAAAGCTTCTCGGTATCTTATTTATTGTATTCGGAATCTTGATTAGTAGCATTTTTCCATGGGCTTCAATATCTTTTAAAGTAGTATTGGCTAACTCCTCTCTGCGGCAAGTTCCAACAACGCCAAAATTCAGCCCAACCTACAAAAAAAGGGATTTGATAAATATTTTTTTGAATAATATATTGACTGTATTTTGCGATTTCATAAACAGAATACTAAAGAAAAATATAAGTATTTATTAATAAATTACCTTTGTGGCTAAATAACGATCATCGGGAGCTTCGTTCAAAAACCTTTCCACTTCATTCGATGTTAATATTTTCGACTTTTTAGTTGTAAAACTGTCTGATTGTAGTTTTAAGAAAGCATTTAGTTTTGGGTATTCACTTATATCCACATTGTTCCTTATTTTCAGCATACTTTTTATCATCGAAAACCTCGACCATAACTTAAAAGGTTTTAAGTTTCCTGAGAGTTCGGAGAACTATGCCAACATAACATTTTCTGAAAAACTATTTGCTTTTTTCGCTTCTCTCCACGCAATAAATTCGTCTTATGTAGATATGTAGCGACTTTTTGACTTTTCCGGTAAAATGTTCTCCGAAGCATTTTGTGCAATTATACTTAGTTCCGGTGGTGTTAATTCAAATAAAATATCGTCGAAATTATTCATTTTGTGCAACAAACAGCTAAACTCGCAAAGAACATTTTTGGAAAATGGCGCCAACCGTAAAAGAATATAAGCAGAGATTTTTTTTTGTTTTCTTCACCCATTCTGGATAGGCAAAGGGAACTATGCCCATATAGCCAAGTCTTCAGTAGAATTTTTTTATTGATATGAAATGAAAATGAAATTTAATGAGATGAAATGAAATGAAACTTAACCTAACTTATTGAATCAAATCATTAAATTTGATATTGAAACAAATTACTAGCTTCTTTTTAGAAATATTCGCATGAATCATAAAAACTTCTTTGAATTTTTTTTAGTAAAAACTTCGTGGTTGGTTTTTTCTTTTTAAAAGACATTATTTTGACAGTTGGGAAAGAAAAAGTTCGAGTATGTAATAGCCCACATCTCAAACGCTATACGTTCCGCAATACGCCACTTTTTGAGCAACTGTATTAAAATGTACAAGCAACTGTATGTGGCGGAGTGGTATTTACGCAAGTAGTCGTTGACTAAATGAGTTACGGAGAATTGACCGTAACTTAGTCTGCAATGTATTAACAGCGTAGTGCCCGTGTAGTAGTGTACATAGAAAAGTGTTTGGCTGTAATGGATGGTGGTGACATCGGCTTCGTCGGCAGACCGGCGAGCCGTACGTGGACGAGTCGTTCCCGGCGGCGGCGCGCTCGCTGTACTACGACGGCGCGGGGCCGGTGGGCGGCGAGGCCGGCGCGGCGGCGCGCTGGCTGCGCCCGCACCAGATACACGTGGACGCGGACCCGCGCCTGCCCTGGCTGGTGTTCCGCGAGCCGCGCCCCTCCGACATCTCGCAGGGTGCGTACTGCCCGTACTGCTCGCACTGCTCGTACTGCCCGCCCGCACCAGATACACGTGGACGCGGACCCGCGCCTGCCCTGGCTGGTGTTCCGCGAGCCGCGCCCCTCCGACATCTCGCAGGGTGCGTACTGCCCGTACTGCTCGCACTGCTCGTACTGCCCGCCCGCACCAGATACACGTGGACGCGGACCCGCGCCTGCCCTGGCTGGTGTTCCGCGAGCCGCGCCCCTCCGACATCTCGCAGGGTGCGTACTGCCCGTACTGCTCGCACTGCTCGTACTGCCCGCCCGCACCAGATACACGTGGACGCGGACCCGCGCCTGCCCTGGCTGGTGTTCCGCGAGCCGCGCCCCTCCGACATCTCGCAGGGTGCGTACTGCCCGTACTGCTCGCACTGCTCGTACTGCCCGCCCGCACCAGATACACGTGGACGCGGACCCGCGCCTGCCCTGGCTGGTGTTCCGCGAGCCGCGCCCCTCCGACATCTCGCAGGGTGCGTACTGCCCGTACTGCTCGCACTGCTCGTACTGCCCGCCCGCACCAGATACACGTAGACGCGGACCCGCACTTGCCCTGGCTGGTGTTCCGCGAGCCGCGCCCCTCCGACATCTCGCAGGGTGCGTACTGCCCGTACTGCTCGCACTGCTCGTACTGCCCGCCCGCACCAGATACACGTAGACGCGGACCCGCACCTGCCCTGGCTGGTGTTCCGCGAGCCGCGCCCCTCCGACATCTCGCAGGGTGCGTACTGCCCGTACTGCTCGCACTGCTCGTACTGCCCGCCCGCACCAGATACACGTAGACGCGGACCCGCGCCTGCCCTGGCTGGTGTTCCGCGAGCCGCGCCCCTCCGACATCTCGCAGGGTGCGTACTGCCCGTACTGCTCGCACTGCTCGTACTGCCCGCCCGCACCAGATACACGTAGACGCGGACCCGCGCCTGCCCTGGCTGGTGTTCCGCGAGCCGCGCCCCTCCGACATCTCGCAGGGTGCGTACTGCCCGTACTGCTCGCACTGCTCGTACTGCCCGCCCGCACCAGATACACGTAGACGCGGACCCGCGCCTGCCCTGGCTGGTGTTCCGCGAGCCGCGCCCCTCCGACATCTCGCAGGGTGCGTACTGCCCGTACTGCTCGCACTGCTCGTACTGCCCGCCCGCACCAGATACACGTAGACGCGGACCCGCGCCTGCCCTGGCTGGTGTTCCGCGAGCCGCGCCCCTCCGACATCTCGCAGGGTGCGTACTGCCCGTACTGCTCGCACTGCTCGTACTGCCCGCCCGCACCAGATACACGTGGACGCGGACCCGCGCCTGCCCTGGCTGGTGTTCCGCGAGCCGCGCCCCTCCGACATCTCGCAGGGTGCGTACTGCCCGTACTGCTCGCACTGCTCGTACTGCCCGCCCGCACCAGATACACGTGGACGCGGACCCGCGCCTGCCCTGGCTGGTGTTCCGCGAGCCGCGCCCCTCCGACATCTCGCAGGGTGCGTACTGCCCGTACTGCTCGCACTGCTCGTACTGCCCGCCCGCACCAGATACACGTGGACGCGGACCCGCGCCTGCCCTGGCTGGTGTTCCGCGAGCCGCGCCCCTCCGACATCTCGCAGGGTGCGTACTGCCCGTACTGCTCGCACTGCTCGTACTGCCCGCCCGCACCAGATACACGTGGACGCGGACCCGCGCCTGCCCTGGCTGGTGTTCCGCGAGCCGCGCCCCTCCGACATCTCGCAGGGTGCGTACTGCCCGTACTGCTCGCACTGCTCGTACTGCCCGCCCGCACCAGATACACGTAGACGCGGACCCGCGCCTGCCCTGGCTGGTGTTCCGCGAGCCGCGCCCCTCCGACATCTCGCAGGGTGCGTACTGCCCGTACTGCTCGCACTGCTCGTACTGCCCGCCCGCACCAGATACACGTGGACGCGGACCCGCGCCTGCCCTGGCTGGTGTTCCGCGAGCCGCGCCCCTCCGACATCTCGCAGGGTGCGTACTGCCCGTACTGCTCGCACTGCTCGTACTGCCCGCCCGCACCAGATACACGTGGACGCGGACCCGCGCCTGCCCTGGCTGGTGTTCCGCGAGCCGCGCCCCTCCGACATCTCGCAGGGTGCGTACTGCCCGTACTGCTCGCACTGCTCGTACTGCCCGCCCGCACCAGATACACGTGGACGCGGACCCGCGCCTGCCCTGGCTGGTGTTCCGCGAGCCGCGCCCCTCCGACATCTCGCAGGGTGCGTACTGCCCGTACTGCTCGTACTGCCCGCCCGCACCAGATACACGTGGACGCGGACCCGCGCCTGCCCTGGCTGGTGTTCCGCGAGCCGCGCCCCTCCGACATCTCGCAGGGTGCGTACTGCCCGTACTGCTCGCACTGCTCGTACTGCCCGCCCGCACCAGATACACGTGGACGCGGACCCGCGCCTGCCCTGGCTGGTGTTCCGCGAGCCGCGCCCCTCCGACATCTCGCAGGGTGCGTACTGCCCGTACTGCTCGCACTGCTCGTACTGCCCGCCCGCACCAGATACACGTGGACGCGGACCCGCGCCTGCCCTGGCTGGTGTTCCGCGAGCCGCGCCCCTCCGACATCTCGCAGGGTGCGTACTGCCCGTACTGCTCGTACTGCCCGCCCGCACCAGATACACGTGGACGCGGACCCGCGCCTGCCCTGGCTGGTGTTCCGCGAGCCGCGCCCCTCCGACATCTCGCAGGGTGCGTACTGCCCGTACTGCTCGCACTGCTCGTACTGCCCGCCCGCACCAGATACACGTGGACGCGGACCCGCGCCTGCCCTGGCTGGTGTTCCGCGAGCCGCGCCCCTCCGACATCTCGCAGGGTGCGTACTGCCCGTACTGCTCGCACTGCTCGCACTGCTCGTACTGCCCGCCCGCACCAGATACACGTGGACGCGGACCCGCGCCTGCCCTGGCTGGTGTTCCGCGAGCCGCGCCCCTCCGACATCTCGCAGGGTGCGTACTGCCCGTACTGCTCGCACTGCTCGTACTGCCCGCCCGCACCAGATACACGTGGACGCGGACCCGCGCCTGCCCTGGCTGGTGTTCCGCGAGCCGCGCCCCTCCGACATCTCGCAGGGTGCGTACTGCCCGTACTGCTCGCACTGCTCGTACTGCCCGCCCGCACCAGATACACGTGGACGCGGACCCGCGCCTGCCCTGGCTGGTGTTCCGCGAGCCGCGCCCCTCCGACATCTCGCAGGGTGCGTACTGCCCGTACTGCTCGCACTGCTCGTACTGCCCGCCCGCACCAGATACACGTGGACGCGGACCCGCGCCTGCCCTGGCTGGTGTTCCGCGAGCCGCGCCCCTCCGACATCTCGCAGGGTGCGTACTGCCCGTACTGCTCGCACTGCTCGTACTGCCCGCCCGCACCAGATACACGTGGACGCGGACCCGCGCCTGCCCTGGCTGGTGTTCCGCGAGCCGCGCCCCTCCGACATCTCGCAGGGTGCGTACTGCCCGTACTGCTCGTACTGCCCGCCCGCACCAGATACACGTGGACGCGGACCCGCGCCTGCCCTGGCTGGTGTTCCGCGAGCCGCGCCCCTCCGACTTCTCGCAGGGTGCGTACTGCCCGTACTGCTCGCACTGCTCGTACTGCCCGCCCGCACCAGATACACGTGGACGCGGACCCGCGCCTGCCCTGGCTGGTGTTCCGCGAGCCGCGCCCCTCCGACATCTCGCAGGGTGCGTACTGCCCGTACTGCTCGTACTGCCCGTCACATGCTCACATGCTGCCAGAGATGCCAGCAGTATGGGCATCCAGCAAAATACTGCCGGTCAAAGGAGGTGACATGCGGAAAGTGTGGAGAGGCAGGCCACGAACGAGGTGACTGCAAGTCAACAGAGGAGAAGTGCGCCACGTGCAAGCGATTTGGCCGAGCTGACTCTGGCTCGCACGTGACAATGGCGCGGAACTGTCCAGCACGCCTATACGCAGAGCAACGCTCCGTGGCCACCACCCAATACTGCCGGTAAGGGCGCTCCTACAAGAATATTGGGAGAGAAAGTTCATATCGGGCAAATTAACCTGGGTCGAGGTGAGCTCGCCTCGGCTGAGTTGCCTATCCTGGCGCGTGAACTGCACCTGGACATTGTTCTTATACAAGAACAGTACTCTCAGGCTGCAGGGATCGTCCAGGTGGGTGGTCACCCGTGGGCGGGCATCTATCTGGCTGACCCGACAATTGGTGTAGCCGTGCTAAATCATCTGAGTAATGAATTTTGTGTGGTGTGCCACGTCAATCGATGGGACCTCTATGTGGTGTCAGCGTATTTTAAGTTTAGTGACCACATCGACGACCACCTGCACCACTTAGAGGGCGCCCTGAGTTGCCTAAAGGGCAGAAGGGTCATCGTCGGCCTCGACGCCAACGCGCACTCGCCACTTTGGCATTGTGACAGACGGCACTATACAGGAAGAGGTCAAAATGTCACCCACAGAAGGCAACAGATGGAAGACTTCATATTTTCACAGGCATTAACATTGGTGAACCAGCCTGGCCAGCCTTACACCTACTCAGGGTCTGGAGGGGAGTCTAATGTAGACCTCACATTAACCACGGGTGATGTTTATGTTGCTGAGTGGCGAGTGCACGAGGGGATCTGCGCCAGTGACCACAACCTCATTACATTCACAGCCACCACCAGCAGGCCTAGCACTCGCGATACACCTGTTAGGGATCCCCCCCGTTTTCGTGACCGGGGGGTGGACTGGTGCAGGTTCCGGACGATTGTCAAGTTACGAATGGGATGGTTGCATGTGGAAAAACCCGCGGCCCTCCTGGCGGAGGAGTTTTCAGGGGTCGTCACCCGCTGTGCGGAGGAAGGCCTAGGGGAGCGTCGCCCTAGGGGGTCGGGGGGATATGAATGGTGGACATCTGAATTAGAGAAAACTCGGAAGTTGCAGTGCAAACTAAGGCGTGCGTGGCAGAGTAAAAGGCGTTTGGGAGGTAGGTCTGAGGAGATAGCAAGAATGGCTTTTC